ACAGACGCTGAGGACATACTATGCTCCCAAACCGTCTAAGCACATCCACCGACACGAATTTAATATTCGCAATCAAAAGGAAGGCGAATCTATCAACGAGTACGTTGCCGTGCTAAGAAAGGCCGCAGCATACTGAGAGTTCAGAGACCTAGACGAACTCATACTCGACCGCATCATATGCAGTGTGCGGGACATTAATCTACAGAGGAGATTACTTGCCAAGTCTAATCTCACTCTACAAATTGCCTTGGACGAAGCCAGGGCATCGAAATCTGCCGTTAAGTCTACAGAAACCCTGCAGCGCCAAAGCACTCCACAAGGTGCGCAGAAGAGCGCAGATGTACATTGCGAGGCTACAGAGGCCGAGGGCACAGAAAGCAAAGATGAAAGCTGCCGCATGTGCAGTGACCGCACCAAGCCACGCACAAATTTGAACTGCGTTTCCCGCCTTGCGCAAGCTGTGGAGGAGACCATACCAGATCATTTTGCCGTTTCCGCTATGCCATCTGCCAGTGCTGCGAGCAAAAGGGGCACATCGCCAAGGTTTGCAGAAGCAAGCACCCCATGATGACCTGGAAGCCCAGAAGCCGACCTAACCGCCAGCAGAGGCCCAACCAAGGGGCATGGCAGCTGCCACCACGGTACTCAGAAGGCGACACCAGAGTCACTTACCATACCTCAATCAGCCAAGTCCGCACAAGGCAGCCAAAAAAGCTGAAGGTCACAGTCCTCATCGAGGGCTCTCCATGCGAGATGGAGATCGACACGGGGTCATCATTGACCATCATGCCATGGTCTACACTCAAGCAGGCTATCCCTAGCCTGAAGAAGCAGCATCTACACCTTCGCGACTACCAGGGGAACCGAGTCCCCATCGTGGGCCAGGGCACCTTCGAGATGAAATTCAAAAACTTCAGAGGCCAGCTTCCAGTGACGGTGGTCAGCAGTGACCTGCAGAGCCCCTGGGGCTTGACTGGTTCGAAGCCCTGGACCTAGAAGTGACCAGTATCAATGCCTTAAAAGACGAGAGCACCGAAGAATTCTTTAAGGAGTTCTAGGATGTCTTCGGCACCGGTCTAGATAACGTTGTGGGGACCCCAATCACTTTTAATTTGGACCCCAACATAGCCCCCATCAGGAGAGTACCTTTCGCTCTCCGCCCTAAAATTGATCTGGAAATTGACAAGCTCATAGGCCAGGGAATCCTAGAGCCGGTAGATCACGCACACTGGGAGACCTCTATAGTGACACCTGTCAAATCTGACGGGTCTGTCCACATCTGCGCGGACCACAAGTGTACAATCATTAAAGCATTACAACAAAGCACTTATCCTGTACCCATTGAACAGCATTTATTATATTCTTTAGGCTCCGGCAAAGTATCTGCTAAATTACCCATAGCGCAGGCATACTAACAATTGCCTGTAGATGGCGCCACAGCGGAGGCCCAAATCATTGTGATGCATAGGGGTGCATTCAAATGTAACCGCCTGCAATTTGGAGTTAGTATTGCCCCTGGACTGTTCCAAAGTGTCATGGAACGGCTTTTGCAGGGGATTCCAGGAGTCATCCCCTATTTTGACGACATCTTGGTATCGGCTGCAAATAAGACGCAACTATTCAAACGTTTGAGAACTGTTTTGACCAGAATTAGAGACAAAGGCCTCCATCTCAAAAAAGAAAAATGCCAAATTAACGTGCCAAGGGTTGAATTCCTAGAGTACTTCATCGACGGCTCTGGGATTCACCTAACCACTAAAAAAATAAAAGCAATCCAGGACACCCCTACACCTCGCAATCAGACCAAGCTGCAGGCATTCCTTGGGCTCCTTAATTTCTACAGCATCTTTCTTAAACAGAAAGCCACCGTTGCTGAGCCCTTACATCGTTTCCTAGCAAAAAACACAAAGTGGTCCTGGGGCAGAGCCGAATCAGCCGCATTTGCTGCGGTGAAGAGACTACTGTCAGCAGACACGTTCCTGGTCCAGTACAGCCAGACCCTGCCACTTGTTTTAACTTGTGACACTTCCCCATTTGGCATCGGAGCCATCCTCAGCCACCGCATGCGCAATGGAACCGAGGCACCCATAGCCTATTACTCAAGGCCCTTTTCCGCTGATGAGCGGAACTACAGCCAACTGGACCGTGAGGCTTTGGCTGCAGTGGCCAGCGTAAAAAGGTTCCATGAGTACCTCTATGGACGTGATTTTGAACTCATCATGGACCACAAACCGCTACTGGGCTTGCTGGCTGGGGACCGGCCTACTCCTGCTTTTTTGTCGCCATGAATGACCAGATGGACTATTTTCCTCATGGCTTACACCTATTGCCTCGTCCATCGACCAGGCTCAACCTTGGGGCATGCCGACGCTTTGAGTTGCTACCCACTGCCTGAACTACTTGAAGACTCTACCCCCGAGATGCCAGTCCTTCTCATTGACTGCTTAGAGACTGGTCCTGTCTTGTCTAGTGACGTTACCCGCCACTCTGCAAGAGACTCCACGATCAAACAAGTTTTGAACTGGGTGTGGAGGGGGTGGCCCAAGGGGCCTGTTGGGTCTGAATTCAAAATGTATTATTGTAAAGGAGATAAAATGTCTGTTATTAATGGCTGTTTGCTGTGGGGGGACTGGGTCGTTGTTCCACCCAAACTGCGCGTTTCAGTATTAGAGAAGGCCCTCCCCCGGGGAGCTGCCAGCCGGCATTGTCTGGTTGACGGCACCCGGAGGAGGCCCAACCTGTGCGATCTTGTTGGTCGTTGGGA